GAAATTATAACAAATTCGTTAAATCTCCGAATTAAAAACTCGGGGCTACATGGTCGAGAAAAGAGTCTGATGATAGTGTCATACCTTGAGATGTTGTCGGTCGACTTGAAGGTCGCGTTGGACTTACTTGGTCTAGCTTTTGCTCTATATTATCAACTTTTTCCAGCTTGTCCTTTACGCTTCCAAATTCATCCAGCACTCTCTTTTCTGATTCCTTCACTGATTCCTTCACTTCATGGATTACTCTATCAGCCTCATCAGTGATCCATTCTTTTAAGCATTTGATGTAGTAGTCTTCATCTTCTGGTTCGAAGGATTGTGTCTTAAGACTATCAATGGCTGTCTTGTTTACACCATGTCTTAACAAAACAGTTTCAATGTCGTTCCAGTACTTGTTGAAATCAGCRTYTGATAGAGCTGGTTCAGAGATGTGACCATACAGATTATTACGGTATAATCTCAGCCTTACTACATCATCTTCCACGTTAACACTTCCTGTAGCAGGCTCTTCGTTCCACCCTTTTACTGGTGTTGGCAAATTGCAGATATTGCGCAACAGTAAACTTAAAAGAGTTATGTCAAAACCTGCAGATGTTGCCGATCCTACACTTGGATACAGTCTGTTCCACTGCTCTGGTCGTAGAAGATTTTTAGCCTTCAAATTCTTTAAGATATTATGAATCCTGCTGTCCATCAAATGTTTCTTTAGATCGTGAGGTGGATGTTTGGCATCAAAAATGACTYTAAGGRCATGAGTTCCTCCATCGATGAGTAATTTACACAATCGAGCAAAGTTGGTGTTTTCTTTTGTAATTGTTGACCATCCAGTAGCCATCCTGATTAATTCCTGCAGCAAAAACAGATAAAGATTAATATTTGTCACCAGAAAACAATGACAACACATTTAAGTGGTCTAAAATAAAGACAAGACAATATAATTTTAAGTAAAACTAGCATCATCGAGGTAAAACCTTTTATTACGCAAAAACTCTAAGTCATCGTGTTTTTGAAGTTTATTAATAGTTATGTTGCCTTTATTAGAAAATAAAATCTTTATCGCTAGACGTTTGACTTCTCGAGTCTCCAAGTTTTGCATGGTAAGTTTGCAATGGAATAGAAAATTAGTCATTTATGTAAGAGATAAATACCGAGAACAGAGGCAATAAGCCATATAAAGCACGAGGGGCCTGGCTTATTTCATACTTGAAGAAGTTTTCCAAGCACTGCATTAATATTTTCATTAAATAGGCAAAGAAGCCGTTTTCATATGAATTAAAAACCAAAACCTCGATTAGAAAGRTTAYGAWATTTACTGTATTGACAATTCCCAACGGTAATAATTTGCATAACCATTTTTCTCGTTAGTCCCATGAGACCAATGCTAACAATATACCTTTTGTAACAAGTAACTGGACAATGTTAATAACTGTTTTATTCCACAACTGACATCGATTAGTCAGTTAGCATAACGTGTTAAGTATAGGATTTTCAAAGCTAAGGTTGTGGGTTCGAATCTACTTGGTGTCATTTGAATTTTTCTTTCTTTCTTTCAAGTTTAAAGTTTCAGACGGAAAATTTCTAAGTTGAACGTAGTAGTTAATTAGGTATTCAAGGGCAATAAGTACATTAGTATTCAAGGGCAATATCTAGATTTAGTTT